ACGTGCTGCTGACCCCAGACCTGGTCTCTGCCCTTCCAGCCACCTCCTGGAAGCAACAGCCCAAGCTGAGAAGGTTTGGGATGGCAGTCACTAGGGATTGCTCCCCCAGGGTGGCAACACCAATGACACTGCTGAGAAGGTGCAGCAGGAAATGGCTGAACAGGTTGAGTCTGCAAGGGGCAGGGTGGGGATTCCCACCACCAGGAGGACACAGAGGGGCTGGAGCGTGTCCAGAGCAGGGCAAGGGAGCTGGGGAAGGGGCTGGAGCACAAGTGTGAGCAGGAGCAGCTGAGGGAGCTGGGGGTGTCCAGCCTGGAGACAAGGAGCTGAGGGGAGACCTGCTGGCTCTGCAGCTGCTGAGAGGAGGTTGGAGCCAGGGGGGTTGGGCTCTGCTCCCCAGGAACAAGGGATGGGACAAGAGGAACCGGCCTCAAGTTGCACCAGGGGAGGCTGAGATGGGATCTTGGGAGAAACTTCTTCCCTGAAGGGTCATTAACCCCTGGCCCAGGCTGCCCAGGGAAGGGGTTCAATCCCCATCCCTGGAGGGGCTTCCAAGCCCTGCAGATGTGGTGCTGAGGGACGTGGGGCAGCACTGGGCTGGGCAGAGTTGGGTTGGTGGTTGGACTCAATGATCTTACAGGTCTTTTCCAACCAGAACATCCCGTGGTTCTGGGCTTTGGGGCTGGGCTGTCTGTGCTACCAAACAAAGGAAGGCCACCCAGAAGGCCAAGCCTTACCCAAGACCCTCAGGACGTGGCTCTCCTGTGCCTTGCAGCTGTACAGAGCCAGGGTTCCCTGCAGGCAGGAGCTGAACATGAAGTTGCCATCAGGAGAGAAGGTCAGGCCGGCGACGGGGGCTCGGTGCTGCCTGGGGAACCACCAAACATGCACCAGGGCAGGAGGACAAACCAACCCACCCCCAGGCAACAGCAGCAAGGTGAAGAACCCAGGGAACAGGCAGAGGACCTCACACCTGCCCGGGACCATGGACATTCCAACTGGTTGGAAAACTGTGCCCCCTACCAGCCCCACCAACCAGAACCACCCAGTCGTTGTGTGTTTCGTGCCAGGACACCCAGCCCAGTTCCCCTGCAGGCACTTACTGGTGCTCCAGCAGCAGGTGGGAGGCAGCCAAGCTGAAGGTTCTCACCATCCCACTGTCAAAGCCACAGGCCAGGACCTGCTGGCTGGGGTGAAAGGCCACAGCACATGGAGCCTCCTCAGCAGCCCTGAAGTCATAGAGCTGTGGGGAACAGACACAGCAAGGCCACCAGGCTGGAGAAAGCTGCACCAAACAGCCTCAGGGTTCCACCACAAGGGTCCCCCAACAGAAAGCCCATCCCACCTGGGTTGATATAAAGCTCAGTGAAACTTCTGAGCATTTAGATAAAGCCCCTGGGTGGTTGGTGTTCATTTTCAACAGATGGAGGAAAAGAAAATGTGGCTGTTTAATGACACCTCCAGAAGTGAAGGACAAATCAGGCATGAAGCTAAAACTCTCAGAGCTCCACAGTCCAGGAGGATTTCTTGCCCAGGGTGCCCCTCCTGGCTTGGGGGAGGAGATTTAAGGGCTCTTGGACTGTGCAGCTTTGATAGATTAAACTGTAGGTGCTCCAGGAAAGCTGGGGAGGGACTTGGGACAAGGGCAGGGAGGGAGAGGACAAGGGGGGATGGATTAAAACTGGCAGAGGGAGATTGAGGTTGGACATGAGGAGGGAATTCTTTGGTGTGAGGGTGGTGAGAGCCTGGCCCAGGTTGCCCAGGGAAGCTGTGGCTGCCCCATCCCTGGCAGTGTTGAAGGGCAGGTTGGATGGGGCTTGGAGCAACCTGGGCTGGTGGGAGGTGTCCCTGCCCATGCAGGGGGGTTGGATCTGGATGATCTTTAAGGTCCCTTCCAACCCAACCCATCCCATGATTCTATGAACCAGGTTAGGCAGACTATTCATAAAAGCAAGACACCAAGTTCTCTCATCTCACCCACCTGCTGCATGGAGACCAGGTTCCAGACTCGGATGGTGCCATCCTGAGACAAGGTTGCCATCTGCTTCCAAAGCCCATCCAGGGAGAAGGCCAGGATGGAGTCCCCGTGGGAGCGCATCAGGGTGTGATAGTGCTGGGCCTGGATGTCCAGGTAGCCCAGGTTCCCAGCAGCTGTGGTGCACAGGACCCTGTGGCTGTCTGGGCTGATGCAGACACAACTCACTGGAGCCTGGTGCTCTGGGGAGAGACCCAAGAGTCAACAAAACCTCCTGGAAAAGGAACAGGAGCAGCAAAGCTCCTGAACCAGATCCAGAAAGCCCTGCCCACAGGCCTGGGTCCCACCCCACCTGGAGGTTTGGGTTCAGTGACCAGTCTCTGCCCTTTCTAGAAGCCCCCAGTGTCTCCTGTTAAGGTGGTTGTTTCCAAAAGAGGGAAGAACTGCTCAACTTCTCCCCTCTTCTCTCATGGGTGGAAGAGCCACAGGTACAAGGGCACAGGAATCCAGCCCAGGTGCCTGGTCTCACCCAGGAGCTCCTGCCTTTCTCCAGCACTGACAAGAACAACATGAATCATGGTTGTTGAAGTCAAAGCCTTCCACAGCAGGCACCCCCAGAGGCAGGAGGAAATTCACGAGTCCTCAGAATAACTCCAGGAGAAGCTTTGGCTTCCCAAGCTAGTGGAGATGTGGAGTTCAGAAGAACCAGTCCCACCTCTACTCACCTGCCTCTAAGACAACAGCTGAGAAGTCCAGTGGCCACAGCCTCAGGTAACCATCTTCTGAACCCGTGGCACAGAAGGTTGAGGAGATGCTGATGCTGTTGATAGCAATCCCAGGGCCTGCAAACCAAACACCAGCACTGCCTGGTGCACCTGGACCAGCAGAGCTCCAGCTGAGGGCTGCCCCATCCAAGACTTGTGTTCCACCCACAGCCAAGTGGCAGAACTGAATCATTCAGGTTGGAAAAGACCTCTGAGTCCAACCATCAACCCAGCACCACCCTGCCCACCAAACCATGTCCCCAGAGTCTCAGAAGCAGCAGCCAGGAGTCCCCTGGTGACCAACATCACAGCCTGAGCTTCAGCCAGACCTTCTCTGGACTCACAGAACCATTCAGGTTGGAAAAGCCCCCTGAGATCACCCAAGTCCAACCCTCATCCCTGCTCCACAAAGTTCTCCCCTAAACCATCTCCACCAACACCACATTCAAACAACCCTTAAACACATCCAGGGATGGTGACTCCACCACCTCCCTGGGCAGCCTGTTCCAGTGTCTGACCACACATGTTCAGACCCTCCTCTTTACCCTTGTGCCACTCTCACCAGAACATTCTTCCCACTGGTTAAACCCAGCCAAGAGTTGCCTTGACCAGGATCCTGTGGCCAAGGATGCCCTGGATTAACTGCCTGAGATACAAACCCCTCCCACTTCCATGTCCCAAACCCTCTCTGCAGCACAGTGAGAAGACACCAGGGAGGTTGGAACCTGATGATCTTGAAGGTCCCTTCCAACCTTCACCATTCTGTGATTCTGTAAGACACAGATCTACAGAAACCAGGATTTTTTTGACTCAGGTATAAAATCCATGGGTCACAGCCCCAGCAAGAGCCAGCACTGCTACAAGAGGACACCCAAGGACATCATTTCATCTCCTCTTGGGCATCTTCTCCCCTGAGAAGTGAGAACCAGAGTCACGTGTCCCTCAGAGGGGAATGATCTGGATTCATTAGCTCCATAGTGAAAAAACCCCACCCCAAATTCATGTCTTTCATTGGTCTGCTTCTTCCACCTCTCCATGAAGGTCCCCATCAGCAAATGAAGCCCTTGTTTCATGTTTCTGAAGGTGATGTTTCTCTGGAAGTGCAACCAGGACCTCAAATGCCCAAATTCCTTCTCATGTCACCATGGGAAGGGGGATTATCTGCAGGGCTTAGAGGCAAAGAGCAAGCAGTGATCTAACCAACCCAACTCACATCCCAGACTGGGTTGGGTTGGAAGGGACCTTCAAGACCATCCAGTCCCACCCCCCTGCATGGGCAGGGACACCTCCCACCAGCCCAGGCTGCTCCAAGCCCCATCCAACCTGCCCTTCAACACTGCCAGGGATGGGGCAGCCACAGCTTCCCTGGGCAACCTGGGCCAGGCTCTCACCACCCTCACACCAAAGAATTCCCTCCTCATGTCCAACCTCAATCTCCCTCTGCCAGTTTCAATCCATCCCCCCTTGTCCTCTCAGCCCTGAGAGGAGAAGGCCCAAGGGGAGACCTCATTAATATGCTCCAGTACTCAAAGGGTGGATCCCAAGAAGATGGAAGGAGTCCCAGGGAAAAGACAAGGGGTGATGGGCACAAGTTGCTCCTGGGGAGATTCCAATGGGACACAAGAGGTCAATGCTTCATCTCAAGAAGAGTCAGACAGTCTTCTAAGGGAAGTGGTGGATTTCTCCACATGGGACAGTTTGAAGCCTTAGATGCTGGGCCACCTCATATCAACTGGAGTATTCCTAGAAAGGTTGGACCAGATGATCCTTGCGGAGATTCCAATGGGACACAAGAGATCAATGTTTCACCTCAAGAACAGTCAGACATTGGAATAGTCTTCTAAGGGAAATGGTGGATTTCTCCACATGGGACAGTTTGAAGCCTCAGCTCAACAGATGCTGGGCCACCAACTAGAGTTTCCTAGAAAGGTTGGACCAGATGATCCTTGGGGTCCCTTCCAACCTGGCATTCAAGGATTCCATAATCCTCTCCCTCCCTGCCCTTGTCCCAAGCCCCTCCCCAGCTTTCCTGGAGCCCCTTCAGGCACTGGAAGGTGCTCTAAGGTCTCCCTGGAACCTTTTCTTCTCCAACAGCTGGTTGGTTCTCCCCGAGCTGTGCCTGAGCTCACTCCTGTCCCCAGGGGTGGTGGAGATGCTGCCTACCTGGGCTGCTGCCTGCCTTCTCCTGGGGCTGTGAGGGCAGGAGCCTCCTCACGCTCCTCACGCAGACCCTCTTGTAGTCCACCTCCAGGATGTGGCCACTCTTGCTGCAGACAAAGCTGGAAAGGAGACAAGAGCCCCCAAGGATCAGAGGAACCAGGTGGTTCAGTCAGACCCACCTTGGTTTCGCTCTTCAACTCTTGGCCCAAAGGGAAGCACATGGGTTTGGGTTGGAAGGGACCTTAGAGATGGTGTGGATCCAACCCCCTGGGTGGGCAGGAACACCTCCCACCAGCCCAGGTTGTTGACAGTAACTCAACAGGTGAAGGTGTCCAAGGGCACCTTCCCATGTGCTACCCTATGGATCTACAACCAAGCCAGGGCTTTCTGCTCAGTGTTTGCTGGAGCCCAGAGACCACCCGTGGCCTGGGCTGCAGCAAAATGAGTGTGGCCAGCAGGGCCAGGGAGGGGATTGTCCCCATGAGCTCTGGTGAGACCCTCTTGTAGGGCTGGAGCCCCCAACATAAGGACATGGAACTGTTGGAAAGAGTCCAGAGGGGGTCATGGAGATGATCCCAGGGCTGGAGCAGCTCTGGAGCCAGGCTGGGAGAGCTGGGGTGTTCAGCCTGGAGAAGAGAAGGCTCCAGGGAGACCTTAGAGCACCTTCCAGTGCCTGAAGGGGCTCCAGGAAAGCTGGGGAGGGGCTTGGGACAAGGGCAGGGAGGGGTGGGATAAAAGGGAATGGATTAAAAGTGGAAGAGGGGAGATTTAGGTTAGACATCAGGAAGAAATTCTTGGCTGTGAAGGAGGAAGAACCATTCCCTCGGGGGGTCCCCACCAGCAGCCAAAGCTCAGGAGCTCCCTCAGGAGGGGGAGAGGTTCTCCCAGCTCCAGGAACCACCTGGGTGCTGCAGGGAAACCCAGCGTTGGGAGGAAGATGAGGAGGGAGGAAGGGGAGGGGAGGTGGGTGCTCACAGCGTGCGGTCCTCGGGCTCCCGCTGGGCCGTGTGTCCCTCCTCGAAGGCCAGGTCGGTGAGTTCCAGGCAGTGATAGTGGCCCAGGGGGACGGGGCAGGAGCGCAGGGCCCCGCTCCTCACCCGCCACCGCCGCACGTTGTCCCGGCCACCCGACCCCATC